ATGTTTTGCTTTTTTCTTTGTCTCTTTCTTATTTTTCTTATGTCTTAAAAATTTCTTTATCGCGCGCGATGATGCAAACATCAAGAAAAATCGTTATTATAAAATACAGCTGTACCTTAAGGAAATACAAAATTATTGTATACAAACATACATTATAGTATTCTACACACATACATGCATAAGTATGTGAAGAGTATGTAATTTATACATATACATACATACGTATATAGATTTATCTGTTTATATTTTATTCTTTATTGTCAAGGTTTCTAGAGGGAAAACTTTTTCATTAAAAAAACACAAAACAAAAAAAAAAAAAGAAAAATTGAAAATTTTATTTTACTTAAAAGACCTTGACGAGGAAGTGTTCTTACTCGTATTTTTATTTTTTGATAATTTTTGTTTTTCTTTTTATTTTTTGTATTAAGGAATTGCAAAACTGAATTTTCGCGCTAAATACATTGTTCATTATTGTGTTATAATTTTCTACACCTTATTTTCTTAAAGCAGGAACATTTTATAGCAAGGATATTCATGTAATTTCACTATCGGTGTAAAATAAAATCAAAAATACTCTTAAATTATATACTGGGTTTCATAGTTTAGTCTAAGAAAATATTTCGGTGCAAGTGTCTGACAATAATTTTCATAAAACCTCAAATAGATGCTTTTAATTTGTCCGGTTACGTCAGATGTGGTACGAATTCTTAATATGTTTTTTGCTTAAAAAAAATCAAATTCATATTTAGAAATTTGTACTTATTTATTTGCCTAATTTCAGGCTTTTATACAGTTGAAAATTTTATTTTTTGTGGAAAATCAAAAATATTTGATATTTTCTAATAAAAATTTGCAGAAAATTTAAATTTATATTAATTTTTAATAAATATTGCCTACTTCTAGGTTCTACCAATACATTTTATTCTCAAATCACTACAATGTTAATGAGCATGATAATAACAATACCTGAATTTATTAAAGGAAGAACTACCAAATCCAAATAACTCTTTAAAATAAATTCTTCTCTGTTCACATAAAAGGAAGATTCCCAAGATTGTCAAGATTTGTACATTTTTTTTTTACTATCAAATACGTAATTACAAAAAAATATTCCTTATATTCCTTACAAGTATTAGCAAATATAAAAGTAATAATGAAGAAACAGAAAGATAATGAGAATTTTTAAGAGTAACCAAAATACTCGTCATAATATAGGAAAAAGTAAATCCAAAAGTGGAGGCTTTGTTATAACTGATAAAATTCAATTGTGATACAATACAATTGAAAATCATTTGGACAAAATTTTTTTTTTTTTAGAGAAAGTTAAACAAAAAGCTAATGGAATTTTTGTACTAGCACCAGAATTTCGCATTTAAGTCAAAAAAAATGCAAAATATTTTTTTGGATGTTCCGAAAATATAAATTTAATTTGTAAATTATTATTCTGAAAATAGCAGTGAGATTGAAGCTTAATCAAATTAATTTCAAGCCACAAACTTATATTAGCACTATTATACTGCCTCAAAGATAAATGAGTACAATTCGATTTTGCTGATTCAAATACTAGAAATTTTAATTTATTTAAAAAAACCCTAAAACCATAATTTCAATAAATAAAATAAATTCTATATCTTATTGTATAAGGAATCAACATTTTTTTTAAAATAAATGAAGCCCTTATACTATAAAATATAATTGGCGTCTTAAGATGGTTTTATATTTTAGTATTATAGTTTTATGTATGCTAATGGATCTCTATTATTCTACATACTTTTTTTGTTGAATTCTCATACAAATTTTTAAATACACACATGTACAAATTGTGTAAAACTATATATAAACACAAAAAATATCTATAACTAATATTATTTACTTTAACATTGTTTCACGTTCAACAGTAATAACATTCCAGGATACAGAAAAAAAAAACATGAGTTTAGAAATAGAAAATATTTAGTTATACTTTATAAAATAAGGAAAAGAAAGTGAGAAAAACTTGTATATAGCTATTGTATTATGGCATAAAATTTGAAAGACGTTAAAAAGACGTTAAGAGTTAAATTTTTAATGGATTAAAGAGTATAGTATGGTATGTACATTAAATTTTCCGTAAAACTTAAAAGAGAAACATATAGATTATTGTGAGACTACCCAAAACAGAAAAGTTAAAGTAATAAAGAAATTTAAATTTTATGTTTATTAACATTTTCTCTAAGAAAATTTAATTTAAAATTAATTTTAATATTCTATGAGAAATTTATTACCTGAGTACATATATAAAATTTTTAAGGAACTCAGCTCAATGATTCTGTATTTTGTACATTATGTCATTTTTTTTTTTTTTTTGATGATATAAAATTTAAGGATATTATAGCCCGATTCGTTCTAAGCAACCATACTTTTTATTCAATATCTTGAGCTTTTCAGATTTTTCAAGAAAATGACCTCATATGAGAAAAATAGCGAGCATTTGTTTAGTATACACTTAAAATAGAAATAATATACACTTAAAATGAGACAGAATTTTTGTTGAATTTTGAAAGCTCATAGACCAGCAAATTAGAACGTTTGAAATTATGAGCATAACATGCATTAAATTTCAACGAATACTAATCCCACCTTATTTATTTTTAATAGACTAGAAAATCATATAAATAAGAGCCAATCTAAAATCAATTATTAACTAATAGAAGAACAATGTCTTAAAGAAGTCAATTTATACATTACAAACCATAGCATATGATGTACGTGCATCGTTAATAGGAAGTCTCAAGAAAGAGGGAAAGTGACTCATATAACTTTTATTCGTACACTTAATTAGACGTCTGACACAAGTTCGTAAGAGATATTTAATGAAAAATTCAGATTAAGCATTGTTCTACACAGCTTTTTGTTTAAAGCTTTCCGAACATTTCGATCATACCATTTGCGGCCAGAGAAACTCCTGACCTAAATGGCATATTATGTACTTATAGCCAATTTACTTGTTTTTTTAAATCCAAATTTTAAAAATGAATTTCCTTAAAAAGGAATTCAAGTTATCCCCAATTTGAACAAAAAATTTATGTTAAACGATTATGGGAAAGGTTAACTAAGGTTATAATTCATATTTTATGGATTTTTTTATTTGAACTTAAAAATATTCCAAAAATTTTTACAAGCACTAACAAAAATATTAATATTTAATTTATAAAAAAAAAAAAACCAACTATAAATTTTATTTTTCTATCTCTTTCTTACCTTTAATATTAGCAACATTTCATAAATTATGTGTAACTAACATAGTATTGATAACGTTAGCGAAAATGAAAAAAAAAAATCTAGATTTTATTTTTATTATTATTCTGTTATACATAGTTATCGCAAATGTACGTGTTCAGTATTATGTTCTGCATACTGAACACCTACATTTATCTACCAATCTTACCTTCCTACAATGTTGTGTACTACATACATATATTCCTATCACAATAAAAATGTTAAATTAAATCATCATTATCACAATTATTGCTATTATTATAATACTATCATCATCAATGTTATATGATATTAAATATAATGACAATCAATATCATCGAACAGTTATAATATTTATACAGAATGTTAGAATAAAATCAAATAAAAGGTACACATAGCAATTTTTAGCATACATACATACATGCATATATATTACCTATAAGTGTATGTATATGTACAATTGAATATGCGTATGTGTGTACTGATATAAAAATTATGATTATTAATGTTAAAGTTGCGTTCTTATATTGTTTGTTCGATGTCACTTGAATTTAAAAATTGAAAAGAAATAAAAATGAAATAAAAACAAAAAAAAAACAAACTAAGTATTAAAGAAAAAAAAACATTATATTATTTTTTCAGGTGTGTTTTCATACCTTTATTGTTTTAATATGCTACTGTTATTGTTAACTGTGTTGTTATCGTTATACGATTTTTTATTTTTCGCTATTATGAAATTCTCCCTCATTTTTATATTATATTCCTATATTAAATCAACTTGTTACTAGTTCTATGTAAAACTGAAAATTTGCTGAACATTTAAAAATGTCAATTGATTTTTTTTTTGTTATCGTATATCTGTTCTTATTTTTGCTTTTACTATAAAAATAAACGTGATTAATAGCAGGAAAAAAAACTTTCAATAATAAGAATGACAATGTCTTTTTGAAATGCAACAATAAAATGAAGAATGAAATATTTCTACGATCCCATAATATTATATATAAAATTAATAATAATTCTATTACACCCTTCAACTTATATAAACATGTAAAATATAAAAATTCACCATCCCAAAATATATTCAACATTACTATATACGAGTACAAAAATTTGCCTAATTTCAATAATTATAAACAAAGAAACTAAATATTAAATTTTCAAATCAATTATAAATGCTTTTGTATTTATGTTATTCAATAAATTCATTCAGAATTAAAATATTTATAGAATTTCTCATTATTAAAATTGTTGTTATTGTATTTTTCATATTTATTTTATTTATTTGTTATTTAAACTTAAAAAAATTTGACAATCAAGTACAGGTATTCCTCATTTAACGTAATTTTTTGGGACCCACAATTTCCTACGTTAACTGAAATTACATAACTGAAAATACACAAATCAGAAGTAGGAACATTACAGCTTTAGAAATGGCAACATGTATATATTACTAGTGGTACCACTTGTCAAGTGTTCCTAAATTTTATGAATTGATAGCTTTAGAAATAACAAAATGTTTTTTTTATTATACGTACAACTTTTAAGGTCTTGCCAAAGGTGTTTTTTCTTAAAAAAAAAAAAAGAAGTTGAAAAAAAAAATTACGATAAGCGATGGAGAAATTTACGATAATTGAAATAATGTCGCTAAAAAAAATCTATACGGTATTTCGCTTACCGTAAAATACATAAAAAGAATGTACGTTAAGCGAAGGAGACCTGTATTATAGTTTTCTTGAAATTCCAATATGCTATGTTTCACAATGTGTACGTATATATGTATGTAAGTAAATATGTATAACACATATTAAACATAATATTGTTACCGTAAACTGGATATATTGTCTAGAATCTACACATTAAAAAGTCATAATTAATATGGAACATGTCCCTAATATAAACGCTCACAATATACATACATAAATACCGTATTTTTCCATTCTATTTAAATATGTATCGTATCGTATATCGTATAAAATGTCGATCTTACATATTAAAATATTTCTACAATCCCATAATATTATGTATAAAATTATGTATAAAACAAATTTGACGTATATGTCAAAGAAGTAATCAAAATTTATTTAAAAAAAAAAATAAGAAATAGATTTTGAATTTTTAATTCAAATTAATTTTAAAATTTGTAAAGGATAAAAATAATATAGTTTTATAAATTTCCACCAATTCTATTGTTATTTAAAGAATTTTATTTAAAACAAAAATTTTATTCTTTCATTTAATTTTAGCTTTTTCAAAGCCAAGTAATCAAGATGAACCCGAATATATGCATGATGAAGATTATGATGAAGAAGAAGAACAAGCTCCACCTGAAAATAAATCAACTGAAAATATTGCAACTGATACTGTAACTCAACCACCATATTTTCCAAGTCCACATGAAAAATATCATATTAAATTAGGATCAGATGCTGAATTAAAATGTTCTGCTAAACAATTAACAGGTTCGTATTATTATTATTGTAAAAAAATTGCTAAAAAATTAAATATTTTTCTTTTATTTTTTTAGCAACAAATGTTATTTTATGGTATAAAGATACAAATGTTATTTCAAATGGTAAACAATTAACAAGTGGAGAAGGTCATTTTAAAATATTAAGTGATTATTCATTATTAATACAAAATGCAACACATGAAGATGGTGGAAATTATTATTGTGTTGTTTTACCAAATGATATTAAATTACATGTTGAAGTACAGATTGATGAAGAAGAAACAAGCCCAGAAGAACAACAAGCACCACCAGCTGAACATAATCAAGCTAGTCAAATTGGACAACAAGCTGTAACTGAAACAAATCCAAGTGAAAATGGATGTAATGGAAAAATTAGTCAATCAATTATTCTTACATTAATAACAATTACATTAACATCAGTATTAAGGATATGAATTGATTTTCAAAAAAAAATCAATGAGTATAATAATTATATCTACATATAAATAAAAAGAAAAACACAATTAATTAAAAACAAAAATGTACGGACATTTCAAAAAAAAAACAAATTAAATAGATTTTATTTCAAATAATTGCAATATAGAAAAGAATAATTAAAAATGCCATAAAAATAAAAAATAAAAAGTGAACGCAGAATAAAAATTCTTAATAATTTGAAGCATGTAAAAAAGAGCAAAACAAAAAACAATTTTTTAATATAAAAAAATTATGAGAAAACTTTATCATCTTTCTATAGATATATTTGTAGCCAGCCAATACACAATATTGTATAAATTAATGGAAAATTTTTAGAAAAAGATTTACAAATATCTACCCACCATTAACATTATGATTTTAAAAGGTTCTGTCTCAACTATTAATTACATAACTTTTTTTCTCTGCCAATTTGTTCAGGTTTTCAATTCTTTCATTTAATTTTTTAAAAATTTTGCTAGTTACTGTTAAATTAGTATTAGATTAGATTCTTAGAATAACACATTTTGGCTCTTTTATTAAAAATTTCTAATTTTTATAATTAAAAATATTATTAGAGAACTTAGAAAATCTACCATATTATACAATAATTGCTAAAATAATTTAAAAATATTAATATTTTTTTTGAAATAATTAAATTTTTTTTTGAATATTTAATAATAAATAATTAATTATAAAATTCTATAAACGTCATAGCTTCTTAAATGAACACAAATTTGTATGAAATAAAATTTATAATTAAAACTGCGTCACTCTTTGAAACAAAATATAATGAAGAATTTAATTCAACAATATTATAAATTTTTTCTTAAATTTATATTCCAAAATTTAAAAAATACAAGAAAATCATTTCATAACTTGCTTATGAAAATTCATATAGTAGCTGCTAATATCTAAAAAAAAAAATAAATTGCAATGTCCGTCAAAAAAACATTAAAAAAATGTTAAAATTTTTTATGTTACAAGAAAAACCAATTAAAATTTCATTAAATTCAAAATTTCGGAATTTTGTAAAAAACAACAAATTTTATTTTTGATATTTAAAATTCATTTAAATCATGGATGTCAAGACTTTTGAAACTATGGGCCAATTTCCAATATTCTGTATGACAAAAGGGCCACAAAATAAAACAATTAATTCAATTTTTAAGTTGTATAAACGTTTATTTATTTTTTATTAGAAGTACTGTGAGCTGAGTGACACTGCTTCTGTTGAACAAGTCTTAAAATATTGGGTTGCATATTTGTAGTAGCCAATCGTAGAATTGCAAGTAGATTATCATAATAAAACCATAATAATATTTTAACAATTCGTTTTAGAGGGCCGCACCAAAATAAGAAAATGGCACGGGCCGCACTTTTGACATCCATGATTTAAATCATAATTTTTTTTTCTTATTTAAAAATTTTAACAAAAAAAATAATATTGTTTCAATTTTAATTTTCTTATTTTTCTTCTTAAATATTTTAAAAAAATAAAATGTTTGTTGAGCAAATATATTAATTAATTTTAATTATTAAATATTAAAAAAAATAAAAATATTGTAAAGAAATTCTATTTTAAATTATGTATAATAAGTAAGAAGAAAAGAAAAAAAAAATTCAAAAATAAAATAATAATTAAAATTAGAATTTAAGTTTGAAAATACAAAATAAAAAATTGAATTAATAGAAACACAAAAAAAATAAAAATGATCAAAAACAAAAATATAAGTGAATTGAATTTGTCAGTTTGTAATGCAACGATTTTTTCTAAATATTTAAATGTAAAAATGCAAAAAAGGCAAAATTAATATTTTTAAATAAGACATTAAACATTCAAAATTACATAAATAAAATATAACAAGATTGTAAAGAAATAAAATGGAAATAAAAATAGAATCCTGATCTCTGACATTGGAATTATTAAAATTATGAATTTTTCTGAAAATTAATTCTTAAATTCATGTAAAAAATTAAAATTTTTTTCCAATATTTTACTGAAATTTTTATAATCCGATTCCGAATTAGTCTTTACTAATTATTTTTTATTTGAAAATCAATATTTTAAAAGGTTTTTAACAATTAATTATAACAAAATTTCATCCTATAAAATTGATCCTATAAAATTTTTATATGAAAAAATAATTTCACTATAAAATTATTTTAATTCCACAATGTAATTTATGATTTATTTCATTACAATGAATGAATGAATGAAAAAATAATTATAAAAATTGTAAAATATTATTAAATTTCGAAAATTATAAATTTGGCATTGAAATTTCAAAAGAAAATGTTCAATATTAGTTTTTAATTTTTCAAAATTATTTAAATTAATTAAATTTTTTTTTTTTTGGCACGTCCTTAAAATGTCATAAAATTTTAAATTATTATTTACGTATTTCAATCAAAAGTATATATATACATACAGAATAAATTCAATTACAACTTATATAAAATATTCAAATATAATATAAATAAAAATTTATATATAATTAATAAAAAAAAATATATTGAAAAAATTTAATTAGAAATTCAAAAAACAAAAAAAAAAAAAAACAATTAAATTATTTATAAAAAATATAATTAAATAATATAAATAAACCATAAATATATAAATATTATGTAGAATTAATAATATAAATGTAAATTAAATTATTTAATAATAATATATTTAAAAAAAAATCTTATTGTAATTATTATAAATTCTATACAATATATATATATAATAATTTTTATTTTAAGAATTTAATAAATTGCAAAATATTTTTTTTTTTTATTTTAATTTTATGTATAAATTTTTTTCCAAAAAATTCATAAAAACATTTCATTTGAATTATTAAATAATTTAATTTGAAATATATAAACTATTTTTTTATATTAATATTTTAAATAATTTGTATTCTCCGCTTTAAATAAATAAATAATAAGAAATTTTTAATAAAATATAAATAAATATATTGAAATAAAATAAAATAAAACAAATATAAATTTGATTAAATTGAATAAAATCTCAAAAAAAAAAAAAATAAGCCTAAAATTCATTTTACACATTTTATAATTAATTTTAATGTCACAATAATATTTTAATCAAATCTTAAATTTTGTGACCATAAATATAAAAATAAATATAATGAAATTTTTTTTAATAAAATAAGATTTTTATAAAATTTTTATGTAAATTGAAAATAATAATTTTTATTTTGGTTCTTCTTTTTATTTATTTTTATGTTTTTTTTTTTTTAAATATAATATTAATCATATTCAGATTAATATGGCATCAAGGAATTGGAAAATGATATTTGTATATATATATAAAATAGATTGATATGAAAGTTATATGAAACTTAACGTCTATTTTATACTCTAAATAATTATATAAATATTAAATAAAATTTTTGATAACATAAAAAATACTAAATTTAATTTCTATTATTTTATAAAATTAAATAAAATTAATAAACGTTTTGTAATAACAAAAAAAAAATGAAATTAAATTACGCACAAAAAAATATTTTCTTAAACAATTTTTTTTTACTTTTAAACTAAATTAAATTATATATACATATATTTTTCATTTATAATTATATTTTATATTAAATGGGCTGAAATCGAACGGTTCTAATTAGTTTTCTTTATAAAATAAGTAAAAATATATTTGAGAATAATTGCTTTTTGCTTCTTAATTTTCATTAAATATTTATTATAAAATATATTTACTAAATCTATTAAAAAAATTATGCTATTGGTTAAAAACAAAAAAAAATTAAAATAAATTGAATAAATTTCATGAAATTATTAAATTTAGTATTTCAGACACAAAAAAAAAAAAAAAGAAAAGTAAATTTAAAATTTAAATAATATTTGTAAATTTTGTTTTTTATATTTCTTTCTCTTTTATAATTTTATAATGATTTTTTAATTTCTTTAAATTAAATACTAAATGTCAACATAATGTCAAACTAATGAATTATAAAAATTTGTATTAAATTAAAAAAATACAGTAAACAATAATGTTATAAGAGAGAATAAATTTCATAACAATATGAGACAATTTTTCAATTTTTCTCTCATTAAAAAAAAAATTTGTTTAAACATTTTAATATGTGAGTGATTTTTATGTAATAAAATACCATAATTATATGAGAGAATTAAGGAAAAAAAATTGTGTCAAATTGAAAAAAAATTAATTATCTATACGGCAACAATGCGCTATCAGTGCAATTTATGAAATTTATTCTCTTATTTAATACAAATATAATAATAACTTCAATAAGTTTTTAAAGCTTAATTTATTTTAAAAATTTAATTTATGAAATTTCTTATATTTGATGGAAAACCATAATAACAATTTGCATTATTTGATCTTGTTTAAAAATAAATTTTTCAAAATTAAATTCATGTTTCAAAATTCTATTTTGCTGAAAACATTTCTACTTTCCTTTACTTACGTACATTATTTAACTTTCAACATTAGAGTAGTTTGTTTAAAAACAAAAACAACCCTGCATTTACCCCAACTAATTGTCAAAATTTAGAATGGAATCACATATTATTTTTATTTTATTGATATTTCAAAAAAATTTATGTATTAAAAAAAATAAATTATAATATTTCAAGTAAAAATATTAGAAAAGTGAAATGTAAAAGTAATTTTATAAAATATTTCAAATTAAAAATTAAGATAAAAAAGTAGAAATTTTTTAATATAAAAATTATATTATGTATAATAAATAAAATATCAAAACATAAATACTTAATTTTCAAAATAATAAAAAATATATACAAAGACAAAATTATCGTTTTATAATTATAAAATCAATTTTGTTGTTTTTTTAACTTTGTAATGAAATATTTTTTCTAAAAAAAAAAATATATTGGTTTTAGGTAAATTATAAAACGGGGAAAGTAATCTCAATATTTATATATAATTATATATACTAAAATAAAAAAAACTATTATAATCTATATACTCCCGTACATCTATAAAATATTCTAAATATTAAAAAAAAAATTTATATATAAAATCTAAGATTGTGTAGCTTTTAAATGTCAAATTTTTGAAAAATATTTATTAAAATTTATTCTTTAAATTCGAAAAACCTATTTAAAAAAAAAATATATGTAAAATTTTTTGTGTTTTCAATAAAAAATATCAAAAAATAATCTAATAATAATTAAATAAAATATTAAAATTATAATATTAAATAATAAAATATTGATTAACAGCAATAAAATCTAAAAAATGAATAATATTATGACATAAATGACTAATTACAAAATGTCAAAATAAAACGTCAAAAAGAATATTAACTATTTTATGATTTGTACTTTAAAACAAAACAAAAATGTTTTATGAAAAATATTTAACAGATAGGAAATTTTGCTTGTGTCATTCATTAAATTATTCATATTTGTTATTTCATTAAATTCTTCTAATATAATTAAAGATTTTAATGAATTTTTTAATAGTTTGAATTATATAAAAATTTTATTATATAATTTATTTGTCTAAATTGGTCTGAGACAAATTCAGCTAATTTCAACCAAAAGAATTAGAGTGTAAACTCTACCTTAAATTAATACAATAATATTAAGATAGAGGCGCTTCAACAAATTTTAATTTTATATTCTGTCATCTTATTTTATGAAACAAAAATTTGACATATTCAAAAACCAAAACTTTTCTCTATACACATACAAACGATAATTATATCAATTTAAAAAAAAAAAATTTTTTTAAATATTTAATAGTAGTTAAAATATAGAATATAAAAAAATAAAATTAAAATCTTTTTTTTTATAGAAAAATAAAAAAAAAAAATTAAAACCAAACAAAAAAAAAAACAAATATTCTTATGTCTTGCATGGAAGCTTTTTTATTAGACATTTAGTGTGTCATTCTAAAGAAAAAACAAAAACACTGTGCTTTTTACGAAATGGAAAAATATTAAAAAAAAATACAAAAATAAAAATGACATTATTAAGAAGACAAAAACAGAAACAAAAAATAGCCTAACTATTAAAAATAATGAGTCCCATTTTTTTAAGGAATTTTACATGAAACAAGAAAAAAACAAACAAACAAGCAAAATAAGAAACGATATAAACAATGTAATTATATATTGGAAACATGTATTTTAAAAAATTAAATAATATTTGATAATTCTATACATATATATATTACAAATATAAACACAATATAAACATATATATTAAAATTATTATAATATATAAATAATATACGAAAATATACTACATTATGTAATATTAAAAATTTTACATTTCCAAAATGAAAACATAATTACATAAATATTTTTAATAATTTAATAAAATTTTTAGACTTGAATGTCGTTAAAATATTATTTTTAAAATTATTTATGATAAAGAAAATAAATTTTATATTTTTTTCTTGTTTTTAAATAAGAATATATACATTAATTAATATATATATATAATATAATGTTAAAAGAATTACACATTTTTTTTTTAAATTAAATTTCAGCTTTTTATTATTACTACTTAATCATATTATCAGTGATTTCATTTTTTTTTTCTTATGTCAATGTCATTTCATAACTACTATAATACATAAATATTATTATGTATAATAGGAGTATTCATTTACTATACATGTTTATTAGAAATTTATATAATAGAATATTGAATCTAATATTAATTAATATTTAAATCTACATATAATAAAATATTAATTAATATTTAAATCTACATATAATTTGATTGACAGATTTAAAACAAAGATTAAAATAGTTGAGAAAGAAATTTTAAAAACTGTTATATTGTATAACAGTTTTTTATATAACTATTATATAGTATAACAGTTTCTTATATATATATATATATATATATATATGTAATTGTTATATAGTGAAACAGTTTCTTTTATAACTATTATATAATTATAAAATTAAAAATTTGGTATCTAAGTATTTCTCAAAACAACTCAACTTAAAATGACTTTATTCTATTAATATTAGAAGTATGTATAATGAATAATAATAAATTTTATTTAATTAATTTTTTTTCACTGGAAAGGGGTGAACTCTTCTTAATTTTAATTTTGTTATTTTCTATTTCAAAATAGAAAATAGCAAAAATAAAATTCTAGATTTTCATTTTAAATTTTTCTAAATAAAAGTTGTTTCTACCTGCTAATACAAATCCGATTTCGCACTAACATTTTTGAAATCACTGATATTAAATTAGTATAAACTTCAAAGTAATTGTCATTATTTATTTATATTATAAAATTCCGTAATTATTAAGTTGACAATTTATTTAAATTAACATATTTTTTTTTTTATTCTCTTATATTTTTCACTTTATTAAAATTTAATACTTTTGTATAAAATATAATGTATGTATGTATTTTATTTTCATTCATTAACTAAAACAAAAATAAAAACCAACAGTTTACTAATATTAAATTTATTATAATAAAATAAAAATTATATTATATAAATTATGTTATGTTGCACAATTAGGTTATAAAAACACTGTTGTATATAATTTAGTAAGATAAAAATAAATAAAACACAAAAAAAAAAAACAAACATTTAAATCATATTAAAAAAAATTATTAAATTTACTTTAAAAGTTAATTATATATTTAATAATATAATATAAAATAAAAATATGCCTATATATTAAAATTCAAAATAGTATATATATAAGAAAAATATAAAACAAAAAATATTTAATAAAATTTAAATACAAAAAAAAAAAAAACTTGAAAAAAAAAAACAAAACCAAAAAGTATAAAATATTAAAATATACTATACAGATCAGTTATAAATTAAGACAAAAACAAAAAATATTGAGTTAAAAAAAATTCACATATATAGAAAATCCAAATACTAGTAAAGAAATAAAAAACTATAATATAATAAATTACAACAATAAAATAACTGAAATTTAAAAATTAAACACTGGAAAATTTACAATTAAAAATAAAAATGTCTAGAAAACCGATACAAAATTAGTTTTATTTAAATATTTTTATTTTTATTTTAATTCTTTTAATTAAATTAAATTAATAGAAAACATTAAACAGACTTGCCGTTTCTATAAATATTTTTCTTTGTAACATTGTCATATATGCAAAAATATTTATTGTATCGTTTTGGAACAATGGCCCCTGTCATGATAGTATCAAAATCAAAAAGTAAAAAATGAAATGTAACACTGCGTTAATGTTACTGTTGTGCTGCTGTAATATAACACTTTAGAATAATCTTATGTATAAATCTTTTATACGATCTGAAATATTTTAAAAATGATAATTTTAATAACATATGATTTTAATCACATTTCGTGGTGCGAATGTTTCATTCTTGCAATGTTGAGAAATTATATTAATTACGTCACCTGATTTCGTGATTACTTTTTTGATTACGTCGTGCGCAACACTCTTGAAACATCTTTGCAGTGTTTACTTTTTGTAAAACAAAAAGTAAGTGACTGAATTTGAATTGAATACAGAGGAAACTACAGTGGAGAAGAAATATGAGTGAAAAACAAAAACTAACCTTCACCAGAGAAAAATTGAGAGAATCGAATACTAGCAATTTTATAAACTTTTTAAAAGTAAATAACGTAATATTATTCTAAGGCTTTGCGAGAAAATTTTGCAAATAATATTGACATAACCTGACAATTGTACAAATATTACAACTCAGAATGAAATGAAATCATTGTCACTGTCAAATACAAGCGCTTTAGCAAAATAGTTGCGAATAAGTATTTCAATTTTAGCAATGGAAGTTGCGAATTTTAATTTTTGTAAATTAACATTACAATTTTCAGAAAAAAATTTTTTAAATTGGAAAAAGTGATAGTGAATTGGATCATGTGTTTATTAAAATCAAGTCAGTTAAACTATTTTAACACAAAAATATGAAGAATTCCAAAAATATTTACATATTTTATCAAATTGCTAGATTAAAAAACGGCTAGATTATAAGGTATTAAATTTAGTTCACACCATTAAAAAATTTTAATCATTTTAGAACGAATTAATTACACCAAGCGGTTATTAACCTTTTCACAGTTCCAAATTTTAAATTGACTTTTATTTCTCAACATGATACCAACTTAAGCGTATTGTAAAGATAATTTTTAAACAATTTGTTAAGTATAAAAAGCTTAAATTTTCATTTTAAAAATCATAATATTGAAAGAATTTGGAAATTGATTTTTTCGAAACAAAGAAAAGCATGTTACGTCTTCTATATTTACTTTCATTGGTATTTATGAATAATGCGAATACAAGTCGTGTCATTGGTGGAAATTATGCCAGTCCTGGACAATTTCCATATCAGGTTGCATTACAATTAAATGGTAGACATCATTGTGGCGGTGCTATAATTTCAGAAACGTAAGAACCACATAGAATTCAATTTTGTATAAAAATTTAAATATTTTAATTTCATAGGGCAATATTAACAGCTGCTCATTGTACAATTAATCAGTCACCGCAGTCAATGATGGTAATTGCTGGTACAACTGATATTCAAGATACAGATGGTATAAGAATTCAACCAAGTCGTTTTATTAATCATCCACAATATTCATCACAAACTAATGATTATGATATTTCAATTATTCAATTAAGTCAACCATTACCAATTGGAAATAATATAAAACCGATTAATATGGTAGATGTTAATGATAATTTTGATGCAGACACTATTGGTACCCTAAGTGGTTGGGGAGCTATTGATAGTAATTTACAATTACCTACTAAATTGAAATATGCTAAAATTCAACTTTGGAGTCGGGATTATTGTAATCCACAAAATATACCCGGTATCACTGATAGAATGATTTGTGCAGGACATCCGAGTGGGCAAATCAGTGCATGTCAAGGTGATTCTGGTGGTCCATTAACAGTTAATGAAAAACTTGCTGGTGTTGTTAGTTGGGGTTTTGGATGCGGTGCAGCTGGACGTCCTGCAATGTATACTTTTGTCGGAACTTTCAGACCCTGGATTAAACAGACAGTTGGTGTTTGAAAACATTCTAATATTTAGGGTCCTCAATGCTATTTCAAATGTAAGCATGATTTTTAAATAAAGCGTGGATTTTAACAAGTTAAAAATATCTATTGTATATTTTCCATACAAAAATAATTTTAAGACTCTTCTTTTATTTGGCCATATCCTAAAATCCAAATATTGTTATCTCTTTGCCTATGGTTTAAATTATGATCGACTTGAACAGAGACCGCGTATTCCTACAAATTTAAAAAGAGTAATTTTTAATACAATTTTTCATAATTAATATGAAATAATAAATTTTCAGTCACCGCCCCAAATAATGTTGATATGATCACATTTTCGACAGCTAAACTTCGATTTGTTGCTGAATGAACAATCAATACTGGTGTATTACTTGGAACTGGTGTACCTTCTGTCCTTAAACGTTTACTAGGATCAACATGAAGACATTTCCATTTTGTATATCCGTCTGGAATTAATTTACCTGGACCTGTGTTCTATAATAATTAAGGCTAATATTAATTTAGAATAAAGAAAATTACATTTGTTTCAATTAAAATATTTTTAAAATTTACTTGCCTTATCTAAAATTAATCCAACCGGTAAGTTTCTTTCACCACGGTAATTATAAGTGTCAACAGTATTGTTTATCAAAAAATCCAAATTAACCGATTTTGATACACTATAAACGTAAAGAGGTTGTCCTTCGGCAAAACAACATCGAATCTTAAAATCTTGATTATATAATAAAGGTTTATTACTACGGTCGTAATTGTCAGCACTATTAGAAAAACAAAGCAGTAGTTTTAAAAATATGAACTATGAGCATCAAAATTTTGCAATTCAAAAGTTATATCGTTCATTATAATTGCATACCTTTCAATTACGAAACTATTTCTCGTACATGGTTTAAGAGATGATGCTACTGTCAACTCGCATTTATCACCAATATTTTGCTGTTTATTAATCAGTTTTGGATTAATATTAATTGATAAAGCTGGCTGAATATTATCTAACGTTTTAGAATTATTACAAGTTTTCATTGTTGATGCTAGTAATTGCAATGGAATTCCGAAATTAACTATAGGAGAGTATGCTGATAGTTCTACATCTCTACAAAAATTTTCCTTTACTAATTTTATTTTTTGCATCATCAATTCATTTTCACTTTGTTTCTTCAAAAATTCTTTATTTTCATCCTAAAAATTGGTTATTCTAATGGAATATTACACAAATTAATTTTTTATTTCCAAACCTCTTCCAGGCAAAGATCTTCATACCAATTTCCGATTCTGACATTACAGCTATATTTAGTCTCTGGTATTTCCATTTTAAATATAAAAAATGATTTTAATAAAATACAAAATTGATTTTCTAACAAATAGAATATTTTATTTTGTAAAAATTTTTGAAAATATAATTTTTAGATTATTAGTTTGTAATAAACATTTTTAATTGTTTCAAGCCTACTAATAATTGGGAATGACATTTATTTCAAATTTTATTTGAATTTGTGTGTTATGAAACAAAATATAAATTTTATAAAACTAGCTATTATACTGTCACCTATTGGGGCATGCTAGAAACAATAATGTTTAAAAAATATAAAATAAGTTCAAAATTTGACCGCTACATTAACATAAAATACAACGTAACTAGAGCCATCAAGGAGAAGTAAATTTAACTACAAATAAAATTGTTTCAGTGCTGCCATTGCATACATATTATAAATAATATTAAATACTCAATTCTAACGTTGCGCTATCTAACAATAAATAGTAAATTTAAAATTTATTAAAGTGTATTGTCGCCAATAGAGTGAGAAAATGTAGTAAAAAATATTTTAAAATTAAAAAGAATATTTTAATATGGTAAAAAATAAAAGAATAAATTGCTTTACATATTAATTCTAAAATATTTATTAATTACAAAGAGCTTGTAAAATTCAGAAAAGAATAAATTAAAAATACATGAGAGATGTTGTATATATAAAATAAAATGCAATGATTGCGACAAAATTTACATATAGCACAAACGAGGAGATCAGTTATACAACAAGGCTAAAGGAACATTTGAGTGAGGTAAAAAACCGCGTAAGGAAGTAAGAAACTAAAAGTAATTTCGATTCAATGAGTACGAAACAAATTTATGTAACAGAGCACAAAATTACAGAGGAGAACTTAATAGGAGAGAAGTTTACGTGAGAGCATGGAGATATACAAATTGTACGAAGTCTACCTGTTGAACACAGATGAACTAGGCTGTTTAAATTGATTTCTCGACCAATTTTAACAACTACTACTATACTATTATTTTTACTTCTTGTACTACTAGTACTTTTACTACTGACCAATTTTAGTTTGTAATAAATATAATTTTAAAAGTCGATTAAATTTCAGAACAGAAATATTTAAGTAATAATAAAATTCAGTATATAGCTCTCTGTTACGTCTTACACTAAAGTTCAATTCGCACTGCCCTCATTATTCAAATTTAATTTTATTTCTTTTGAAGACATTAGAATATGAGAGTTAGAGTTAAACTAAATTTATTTATAGTAACATTGCCCATTTAACATTTAACTTGTAGAACAGCCCGATATTCAGTTAATAAATTAGAAAATTGACAAGATTTTTAAACATTCCTTACGAAAAATTTCCTATAATTTTATTTGAACTCACATTAATACTTGTAAAACGATATAATTGTATTTGTGATGGAAATTTTCCAAGCCTTATATAATTATTATACAAAAATATTTTAAATAGTTAATTTCCTCTTTTTTTTTCGTTTTGATCCACTTAAATTTTCCCCGAGTATAAAAGACTTGACACTATCTGTAAATCATAGTTCTTTAATATAGGGAAAGAAAGAAATCCTAATTATGTATAAAATTTGAATAATAAATAACTGAACAAAAGGGACACTATACAGTTATATGTAGCATACTTATTATAATTATGTACATAAATGTAAATGTTATATATACTCCTATATCTATATAATTAATATTGAACATAGGCAACAAAATATTCAAGGACACGGTTATAATGAAAGTTAATTTTTTACCATTAATTTCTTATATTTTTTCTTCTTTTGTTTTTTTACTTTAAGTTATTCTTTTGTTTTTTAAAAATCAATATCATAAATACTTCCTGCTTTTTTTATTTACATATATTAAAATGTATTCAAATAAATATTAATTTTCATAAATTAAATTTGAGATGACACTTAAATTGGATTTGCCGTGGACGGAATTACAAACTCTCTATATAATTTTGTAAAATTTGAAAAAAGAGAATTTTGTAGTTGTACAAAAAATGTTATTAAAATTGTTTGAGAAGGAATATGAACAGGATTCTTACTTGGATTCTTAAATTTTAGAACGCATAAAATATATGTAAATTCTGGGAAATTTTTAAGAAACTTCCTGCTACTAAATTAATATTTTCTTTCATAGCGTTTATTTAATAAAGTTATTTTGTTTGCGAATATCTTAGATTTCATTGCTGCGTCACGAACTATCTATAATACGTCATCTGAAATAAATTTTTGCTTTACTGTTCAACTAATTAAAAATTTTGAAAAATAATTTATACTTAATTAAGAGAACTGGCAACAATTTCTTATTTTAGGCACATTCAAATTGTCACTGTCATTCAGTTGTCAACGTTAAATCGAAACAGTTTTCTTTGACTTTTCACCATGAAAATATTGATGCCTGAATAACACTTTCAAATTATTATTTTAATAAAAATTCTAATTAAAATATACGCACGATTATAGCCGCTAATTTCATGTTTGGGCTCTGTCAACTGAATTCCTAGATCATGACATTTCGCGCTGCAAAATCATATTCCATAGAGATAAATGAAATCTCTTATTAATAATATTAATTATTCCTCTTCGTTTTATAAACCAATATTTAACGCATGGCAATTTATGATTATTCCGGATGATATGATTAAAAAAATGTCACCAAATTTGCTCTTCGAATGGACCAGAACAATATTTTTTAACAACTTGCATCAATTCTGAATATCCATGTAAACATTTTTTTGAGTCGCATTTGAAATAATTTTAATAAGACGCAATATTCAAAAAATATTATGCAATATTTCCAAAAAAAAAATACGAGATTTTAATTAAAAAAAAGTTTTTAGAGCGTAATATGTTGACCTTTTCAATTATTAATTACAAATTACTAAAAATTTACTAAAAATTATGCGACAATACATTTATTCAATTATAATAACTTCAAAGCATGCAGGTGGGATCATGTTATATACATACATAATAGTATGTAATATTGTATATATTTAATACTATTGTATAAATATTATTAATACTCGTATAAATAAGGAAATTTTTTTAGGGTACAAAAGAAAAAAAGCGATAATTTCTTTAATCCTATGGAAATTATAAGCACTTTATTAATAAAATTTTGATAAAGGTAATTAAAATAAATTTTTGCCTTGAAAATTTTCTATTTGAACTTTTCAACATGCAATAAAAAATTATTCAAAAAAAAAACAAATTCCTTTTGTATAGAAAATTGTAAATGAATTTGCAAATTTGCATGTTTCACTCATATCAAAATAATTGGCAATTAAAACACCAAATTAAAATTTTCCGATTTTCTTATTTCGATATTACTCTTAATTCTATATTGTTAATTATTCCTGGTGGGTATAATGTAAAAAATTAAATCAAAAAATTTCCCATTGATATTATAATTAAAAGGAAAATTTTATTTGTAAAATAATCTTAGGCATTATGTAAGAAATAGTTACAATACGAAAACACGTCATATTTTTTAATTGTCACAGAAAATAAATTTCAAATTATAATTCATAAACTTTTGCCAATCTATAATATTATAATAATTTTTAAATAAAAATTCATATACAATATTAAGGAAACGTCATTAGTATGAAAATTATAATAACATGTACAATATACAAACTGTCACATTTCAAGGGGATCTACTTACCTTTCAACTTTAGCGAAATTAACGAAAAAGAGTGTTTACTTAAATACTATTAAGAAATCCAGAATCCACTTTTTACAAAAATTGTAGTCGTATTGATTGTCAAATTGATGGTGACGTTTGATAGCTACCGTTGATTTTAAATTGAGTCGATCATAATATCTTTCAAACTTGTTTAAAAAATTTTTTTAATATAACTAAAGTGTTTAAAATAGTCAAAATTAACTGAAGGAATCAATCAACGCAAAAGTAACGTAATACAGTGATAATTTGCAATACCGTAATTCGAAATTTTTTTTTTCTCATCAACTTCATATTCGTGAGTCAGTTAAAAGAACGTAAGCGAAATGTGAATACTAAACTTCAAACATTTTTATTGCAACCAATATTTTTCACTGCAATAAGTTAGTACAAAAATTTTTATTTCATTCCGCTACTCTTCTTTGATTGCTCGCCCCTGTAATACATCCCTGTTCATTATTAAAAACATAATCATAGCAATTCGTTTGCAAAAATTAAAGCTTTTTCTTTTATCATTACCAAATTTCTCATTCTTCTCATTTTCTCTCATTTTCTCAATTTTTTAAAATTTACATTTAGCAAAAATATGTGAAAAAGCTTTTTCATTTTCTATCCTTTTATACTGTTTTCCTTCTTTCTCTTTTTACATTAAAAGCGGCATTATCAAGTACCAGCTATAATATCAATATGGCAGTGAGAAGTTAAAAAAAAAAACAAAAACAAAATTTCGTGAACAAAAAAAAACGATTTTTTTCATATTTTGTTTACATCTCTTATTCAAATGCTCATTATAAAGATTAATCGAGAATATACAAGGGATAAAATATCAATGATTTTCATGTAGCGAATAGCACAGCATATTGCGGCTAACTACATAAAGATTATGTGTATATCTACTTTTGATTAATGAATGAAAAAAGCACTTAGGTTCTTGTGTTTCAGTACCATAGGTCAGAAATTTGGTATGAATTTAAAAAAGTTTTTATTTTTCTCTAGTTTTTGTGCACAATTTTCCAGCAATGAATTTTTGACACATTAATAGTGGACAGATATTTGCTATAGAATAAATTAAATATGTTCCAATAGTTTCAAAATGAAAATTATTAATGAAGAAAAATTAGAGTACCGGTGTTAAAATTTTCGAAAAACATTTGGCTTAAAAATAGAATTTTCGAAATAAATAATTTTTTTCTTTTGAAAGTAAGTGTCAACTACTATATATTAACTAGGTTTTTTTCAAAATATAAGTAAATACATTTTTAATTGAGGCGCTCAGTAAATTAGTGGTCTATCCAAGATTTTTGCAAAAATGAGTTATTATGGTCAATAAAGCTGTAATAGTCTATAGAATTGTTCTATATTTTCAAATTACTTAGTTTACCCTTCTTTTCACTTGATTTTGAAATAAGTTCGTTTTAAAAATTTTCTTAAAAATTAAATATTTAAATTTTTCAATCGCAATTTACTCGAAATGTCATGTTTCCAGCTAGGCCAATAATGCGTTGAGCGCCTCAATTAATAAATAAATCATTTATTGAAAAAAATTTAATATGCATAAATTCGGCAGAATGGTAAAGCACTTTTCGAATTCTAATTATATTCAAATTCTTAAAAATACAGGAATGCAAAAAAATGTTAAAAATGCTATGTTTTTCAGGAGATAATTTCTAAGAGATAATTTTTGATTTTTAGAGACATTCCAAATATTAAAAATCAGCTTAAAAGAGAAAAGAGCTCAGTAACGCTAGAGGATGCTTTGTCCTCTAAGCTCAAAAAGAAAAAGCAAAGACTAACACCGTATTTCAAGTATTTTAATTAATTTTTCTAGAATTAGTTTTACCAAGTTTATTTCCATAACGTCAAATTACTAATGTATAACAGTCCGTAATATTAATGTATAACAATAGTTAATACCGATAATAACATTATTACTTCTATTTTAAATATTAATGCAAAAATAATTTGCTGAGAATACTAATTGAGAGTTTATAATATTATGTGATACATATAAAAATATTTATATATAAATATTGTTGAGAAAAACAGAAGTGAGAGAGAAATGAGAAAATATGATAAATGATATGAATGATAAGATTAAAATGCTGATGCCGCTCAATGAAAAGAGGCAGAAAAAAAAAATGTTACTTTTTTGTTACTCTTCTTCAATTATTATGTAAAGGAGATACATACATTTAAATATTATGTGCTTGAGGCTACTTTCCGAAATATAACAAAATATTAACGAATAACAACGATATTGTATGTCTATAATATATTCTTGTATTGTTCATATATATACATATATATATATATATTTTAGCGTATTTTCTCTTTTTAACTATTATCAAAATAGTCAAGGTTTTTAATATTCTTCATACCAAAAAGGATGCCAATTTTTATAACGCTTCTAAAAACAAATGAAAATATTCTAAAAGTCATGAAAATTTTTGAATTTTTAGAAAAATATTTTACATTTTTAATAACTTGCATACTTGAAATTTCAAAGTTTTAAAGTTGTCATCCAAAAAAAAAAATAAACTCCGTATTCTGTAATTGTTGGAAAAAGCAAATATTAAAGATATTCTAAAGTTTTTTATACAAGTTAGAAAATATTTAAGGGCGAAGAGACGATAACTTTTACAAATTACGAATAAATTTTGTTCGTTCTCTTTTGTTGAAAGAGAAGGAATGAAATCTGATCTGTTCCGGTTATAGCAATTGATCACGTTTTTTTCTATTTTTTTTGTGAAAAAAATTCAATTACGAATTCATTTTCTGACAATATTTTCACTATCACAATATTAATTAATTCAATTTCTCTCATTGGATTATTCTGAATACGTAGGTTTCTGTCATATTCTAATGCTGGGTCTCAGGTTACGCATATCATATTTGACAATATTCCAACAATGATTTAAAAATGCCCAAAGCTTAAAAGATGTTTGTTTTGAAAATATTTTACCTTATAATTTACTGGAATATTTCACTATTTTTCTCTCTCTTTATCTCTCTCTTCTTATTTTTTTGTCCCTAAATAGTTCTCATTTCTTAAATTGTATTGTAACTTCTTTTTTCATTTTATTTTTTTTTTATCTATATCTCATATTCGCTCTATTATTATTCAACTTTTAGTTTTTCACTTTTTCTCTCATTCCCTTTTTTTATTATTTTCTATTTTTTTTTTTTTTATTCACTTTTTCGTAAATCACTTCATGGTTTTTTTTTTCTTATTCCATCTCGTTTTTTTTCCTTTCGTGTTTCATTTTCAGTTTTTGTTGGTTGCTTTTATTTTGTTGTTATTTAAATTTCCTTTTCGCTTTTCGTTTATTTTTTGTTTTTTTTGGGAGCAGTTTTTTTTCTCGTGTTTACGGGATTCGTTCTGTATATAAATATGTTACAGAAAATATTTACCCTTTAGTTGTAGATTGAACATCGAAAGTAAAACATTTCCCAAGCAAGAAATAATTTTATATTTTTCAAAAAAAAAAACAAAAACAAATTTATAAAAAAAATAAAAAAGGAAAAAATATTTAAAGAAGAAGTTAAAAACAAAAAACAAAAACAATAGAGACAAGTTGAAGAATAAATGTTTGTTTTTTTTTTGCAAGAGCAACCTTTCAAGTTTTTCTATTCAAAAACACCAAGAAAAAAGCTCTTCTTCTTCATTTTTGAAATTCACTTTTTGTATATTTGTGTGTGTGTGTGTATCTCTTTTTTCTTATAGTTTTGATTTTTTTTTTGCATGTAATTTCTATTTTTCACTAGTCCACTGAATTACTAACTTTAAACATTCAATTTTTTCGTGTTAAAACACGAATACTAAGAGCAAAAGAATAAGAAAAAGAGAAAATCATTTACACAGGGTATTTGTTGTTGTTTTTTATTGAAAATTTCAATTAAAAAAATCTGCAAAGCTTCCACCAGGATAATTAAGGATAAATTTTTCCTTTTTTATTCTACATTTTTTTTTAAAAACAAATTGTTCTTCTCTTTTTCTATTATTTTGAATAAAATATAAAAATTTTTTTACATAATTTGTGAAATAGAATTAAAATAAATTAAAAAAAAAAAAAGAATTTGTTGTGGCGTGTACAGTGAATAGAAAAAAAAAAACAAAAATTAAAATATTGATAATTCAAAACAAACACCTATACACAAATATATAGTTGTATATATTATACAGAGTGATTAATATTTTATAAAATAATAAATTTTAGATAAAATCCAAAAAAGAACTGAGAATTTTTCTTTTTTTTTTGTAATCTTAAACATTAAAACATTCGGTGGAATTAAAATTGTTGTGTATTGCAGATAAAAAATCTTTTATGGTTTTCATTGTTACCATGTTATTGTTATTGTTGTTGTACTTTTTTATTGTACCATAAATAAAAACAAAACGAAAAAAAAAATTAAGAAAACAGTTAAGAAAATAAAACCATTTATTTTTCGCTTTTTAATTTGATAGTGCAAATCCATAGGGAATTTTTTGGCTCGTGTTAAAATTAAGAAAACAAAAAAAAAAACAAATTTAATCAAAAATTAACAAAAACAAAAATTTTTTAATTTTTATGTTAAATAATAATATTTTTAATTGCATATTTTTTGGGGTTTCATAGAAATTTATTGCAAAATAACATTAATATTGTGTTAAATGTACTTTTAAAGTTAAAGTAATGAATAAGTAAAATTTTTATTAAAAGTAAGTGGTAAGTATGGCTCTGTAATAATCACTAAAATTTTTATTGTATCCTAAAGATTTTATTATTTAAAGTATACAGACAATGAAAGATAGAAAATATTGAGGGTTTTCTTTTATTCAGTTCTAGAATAATTCTAGCTTATAGTACGTTCGAAAATTCACGCTATATAAACTGAATATATAGATCGTTCAGAAATTACTCGTTGCAATAAAGTGCGTTCAGAAATTTAATCTGTAATAAAGAAATGTTACAAATGTAGAGCCGACAAAAAGTATTGGGATACAATTTTATAAAAAATGTAATTTCTGTTATTCTCAAACGTGTGATTGTTTAGAAGTTTCAGAATTTGTAATAAACAAAAAACAAACTTAATTAAACTTAGTTTGCATACTGTTTAACGCTGTGACTTAGAAATTTCAGTTCTAATGTTAAACTTTCAGTGCAACGTGCATAAACGGAAAGCCTCTATTAATTATCAGTTTTTACACAAATTCTCGTACGCGTTTAAATAAATTTAAATGAAAAATATACAAATATCTTAAGTCAGTCATTTATGAATTTTCAAAAACTACAGAATTAAAAGATTTATTTTAAATAATCAATTGTAGAATTTCACATTCAAGATTTATACCTATTAAGTAATTATATGTTAAATAACATACATAAATTAGTTAAAGTTATTCTCTTTTTTACCTAAATATTACAATACTGGTGATATGCCGTCGAAAAGTTTCATAACAAAATTATCCAAATAATCATACAACTTATTTTTATTACTCCAATAATAAATTAAATGGCACTCAGTAATGATATAAGTAACCAAACCTACACGATGATAATTAAATATAAAACTTGTATTTATTTGATTATACCGCTTTCACGACTTTTTATAGAGCTATCTTGTTAAGAGGAGTGCAGATAATACCCAAAAATCTTTTTTAAAGACAAATAATTTCGCGACGAACCTTTCCATTAATTAATTCGAAAAATTTCAACTTTCTATATTATCTAAAATAGAAATTTTTAAACGGACGGAAAGATGAAAAGGCAAATATTATATTTAATTAAAACAGACCAATTATTATATTCGAAATCAGATCAATTATTTTTTCGGAAATATTAAATATGCAACGAAAAATTGTATGGTGATGCCGAGCGAATATAGTACAATAAAAATTGCAATTAAGAGAAAATATTTAAAGACAGACTAAAAACGAAAATCTCTATAAATTACAGTTTCGAGCTTAGGTATTCAAGTAAATGTCTGAAATTAGCAAAATAATTTTGGAATAACAAAGTTATTGAAGCCGCACTTTCCGTTTCCAATTAGTACTCGAATCTTTTTTAGTTCATGTTTTAAATACCGAAAATTATTGAAAAGTTCAACTTTTGTGTTTTACAATCAATATCTTACAAAATTTCTTAATTCAATATATTTTTGGCAGAAGTGAAATAAAGAGTTTTATTGCATTCATAAATAATTTTTTTAAATATTGATAATTTTTTTTTTTGTTAAAAATATAGAATTTTCTTTGTAAACATAAAAAAGTATAGAATAAGAATTTGTTTAGAAAGGAAAAATTTCATTTAGAATTCATATCACATTTAAATTATGAACAAATTCACTGCATCACCTTCTTTATCACGTAAAATGTTATAAATACAAAAATAATACTGATTGCATACTTATAGGACCAGAGCAAAAAATTTAATTTAAAGAAGTTTATTTCTAATCTCTGTCATTGGTTAAAGTAAATTTGGCATAATACGGTAAAATTCGAAATTAGTTAGTTTAAATTTCACATTGCACTTAAGGCATTTGCTCTTAATGTAATTTTATATTAATGCATTGGAAAATAATAAATAATACCGACGGTGTATTTCACATGATATTTTATTTGAAACTACCGCAATCACAACTTAAAATTTAAGTTGCATAATTTAGTTTAATTAGATATAACAGGCTTTAAACTAAAAAAAGATATTTGGAGATTTTTGAAACACCAAGTGTAAGCACTAATTATTAAATACCACGATAAAGTTGTTCTAAAAAGAAGTTCTAACGAAATTTTCATAAAAAATTATGAAAATGTCCTAAAAAACACTTATTTTAGACTCTCTTTTAGTCTTTCAGGTAAAGAGACTAGAAAAATTCAAATTTCGTTCTTAATTAAGTTTCTTGCTCTATAATGATTCAATTTTCCAATAAAATCTTCCATTAAATCTAGAAATTAAATATTAAATTTCATCAATTAGTTTTTTGGATATGATAAAAAAATATAAAATAAGTATCCAATGAAAATTCTGTTGTTGAGATCTTATATTCCCTGTTTCATTGCAACAATATAAATTTGGCCTGCAATAAAAGTCCAACTGCTGATTGCTAATTTCTTCAGTAAGTTATATAACTAGTCGTGTTGTCAACCAGAAGTTTTATGTCCGTCAATTATTTTCTTTAAAAAAATCAAACATTTAAAATCAGACCTTAGTCCAAAGGTCTTGTTTCTGAAATCTGACATGCCCCAAAAGTTAAAATTAATCCATAAGTGTTTAATAAAAACCACTTAAACCTAAGTGGCTCAATTACTCAATTATTTACACTTAAATTAAGAAAAATTCATACATTTTTTTATAATAGCTTACCTTAAATACTATTGAACTCAATTATTTTACCATTTGTACTGGGTTACCATTTTGAAATTTTATAGTGTTACCATTTTTATATATCAAGCATCCTAACCGACACTTGATTATATAAACGAGCTTATTAATTCACAAATTTTAATATTTCACTAATTTTTACAAAATATTTTTTATTATTCTACTCTCTTATGGTACCTTTATTCTTAAATTTTTTCCTATTCATGTTAAATTTGCGGTTAATATCCTTTGAATGCCTAAATTAATTTTATATTTCAAAACAAATTATTTATATTTAAAATTTTTTTACGTGTATTAAATGAATTTTGTTTCTTTTTTGTTTTTTACTAAATTTTCTAATTAAAGTTACTTTTAAATTAAAGGTTTTCTTTGGTTAACCGCTAAATTATATTTTTGTTTTTGAAGATTATAACAAGATAGAATTCAAGGACTCAAGTAACATTAAAAGTTGTTTCATTGGAATTGATAACGAGTATGTACACACACACACATGCCAGTATTTTGAAACATTAAACACAAATTTATAATTTTATTTTCTCTTACATAATATTTGAGATTCAACTTTTTTGTTTTATGCCTTCAGCGTAAAAGATAAAGTTTTATATACCTTTGAAATATTCTCAAAATAAAAAAAAAAATAAATAAATAAAAAAAAATTTAAATGTTTACATAAAAAAAAAAATTTTTATATGATTTAAAAGAATGATGAAGGATTAAGGATTAACATAAAAAAAAAAACAAAAATTTACTCATTAATTTTCTGGTTAAATACCCTCTTACCTTCAATAGTTACTGTTATTAAATTGAAAGTTTCAACTAACTCATCTCTTGCCTCAATTCCTCAGTGTTACAGCGCCCTCTCTCTCCTATACTCGTTTCTATATTATATTTCATTTGTATTATGTTGGTGTGGAATTGAAAATCTAAAAATAAAAAAAAAAGGAATAAAAACAGGAAAGAAAAAGATTCAATTCAAACATTTATGCATTTACACCCACGCGCCCACGTAAAATAACTGTTATACAAGAAATTTTATAATTTTATTTTTTTTATTTTTTTAGGTTTAATTCCTTTTTTTTTTTTTGCATTTTATCTGAATTTTCATTAAATCCTTTTTGTTATTATTTTGTTTTTATTCATTTTCTTTTTGAATTGTTGATTTTATAGTTCGACACTGCGAGAAACTGGTGAAAAAAACAAACTAAATGCGAACAAAACAGAATAAGAAATAAAAATCACCCGCAGACATCACCCGATTTTTAAGCATAAAATAAACAAAAAAAAACAAGTAAAAAATTTTTATTTTACCTTTATTTTTCCGGCCCTTTTCATTGCCGCGCTATAAGCGTTGTTCTCATATATTGCCGACCTAAAAATTACGCAATGAATTTTATTTATTTTTTTCGTTTTCTTATTTTTACCAATCCAATATTGCATTTTCTCTCATATTTTGTGGTTTCAAATTTTTTTTTATTAATTGCAAAAATATAAATACACAAATATGATCCTGAAAAACCCAGAAAAAATTATTAAATTGTTATTTGTACATTACTGATTGATAGTTTATTCAAAAAAACAAACAAACATTATAAAGAAAAATAAAGTTTTTTTTCCGCAGAAAAAATTTTCACTTATTTACATACCATATTTAAAATTAAGAGGGCGGAAAATTGTTCCGCATATATAAAAAAAAACACAAATTAACTTTTATTTACAAAAAATTTTTTTTTTGTTTACAAATGGTTTTATTTAAATAAGAAACTTAAAAAAAAAAATTATTTATTTACTTATAAAAGAAATATTAAAGTAATTTAATAATAAAATGTTATAAAATTTAAATGGATGCTCATTAAAATGTGACGCTTATTAAATAATATCTTAAAAAATTTTTGAAGAATTTATGAATAATCAGCGGAAATTTTTCAATTACAAAAAAAGTTTAATTAGGAAAAATTGATTAGTTCGATTGAAAATATTAAAATTAAAATCCGCGGCGAAGTTATATACAACTTTAAGTTGAGCCTATTTTACCGCAACGGTATTATACATGAAATACCGGGAGGTGATTTTTAGCGGGATTTCAATTTACTGATCGACCTATGTGGGCGCTCTTGTTTCTCAATTCCAGTTGAACTGATATTGATGATATTCGGATAAAAAATTTATATTCAAGTTTGCTTTGGCTACGTTCTTTATACGATTTGATCAACTTTTGAGATATTTCAAATCGTGTGACCTTTACTGCGGACAAACTTCGTATTTTTTAAATACAAAAACTTGGTTTGATAATATGTTCCCTTACGTCCCCTAACTTTTCGATCAAATCAGATGACAGTAATTCAAAT